AAATTGAGAGACTAGTTCACATAGAAACCGACAGACGGACAGCTAGATCGACTCGGCTGTTGATGCTGATCTAGAGGATATATACTTCAAAGGGTTCGGAACTGTCTTTTTCTATGCGTTCCACATTTCAAACTATTTTCTTTTTATTTTGTATCTTCGATATATGCAAAAGAGACAGAGATTTTGAGATTAGGTTCAAAGTTCAGCTTGTGCTATTTATAAAAAAAAATGATTTGTAGGTTAGAACCGGCTAGATTCAAACTGGTTTTTTATTATTACATTGAATACATGTCATCAACTTTGTTGGGTATTTATTTAATTACCTTCGCTCGTTTGATGTTTACAACTTTCATAAAAATACCTCAATCTAACCCAAATACAAACACATCTAGTCCTTATATTATCATCGATCTACGTAATGCAGTTCAATTTAATTTAATGTCCAATTTAAATTTGTATTGCAATAATACTGATTGGTTTTCCATTACGACCTTTAGCAAATAGCATTTCTCATGCGACAAGCTTGGCATGCATTGCATTGACCTCTATTTAATGGAGGTCAATGCGTCCCCCACCCCTCATTACATTGACCCCCCACCGGCCAATTGATGTGCATTTGGTAAATTGTCGCAATGCGTGAAATTTGCTTGCATTTTAGATGATTTGTTAGTCTAGTCGAACCAGACCCCGTGCTGGTGTACTTTTAATCCATTATTGGTTCTGTAAATTGAAATGCATTTTTTATAAACAGGTAATCGATTTGCTCAATCCGGGAAGCGCTCGCAAGCCGCTTGCCGTGCGCTGGTCCAAGAAATCCGGCGGTTTTTTTGTGGAGAATTTATTTACGGTCGACTGCGAGGAACTTGACGATTTGCTGGCTGTGCTAGAAGAGGGTAAGTCGGGTGGTCAAGTTATTGTCAGAACTAATCCCAACACGCGCCCGTTGCAGGCATGAGGAATCGCGCCGTTGGCTCGCATGCGATGAATGATCATTCATCGCGTTCGCATACGATATTAACGGTACACATACTATCGGATCAACAAACGGATGGCGGCGTATTTCTCTCCAAGCACGGCAAGATCAATTTTGTGGACTTGGCGGGCAGCGAACTGACCAAAAAGACAATGAGCGAGGGCAAGACCTTGGAGGAGGCGAACAACATCAACAAGAGTCTCATGGTGCTGGGCTATTGCATCTCGTCGCTGAGCGATAATAAGAAGCGCACCGGCCACATTCCCTACAGGGACAGCCAGCTGACCAAGCTGCTGGCCGACAGTCTGGCCGGGAACGGGGTCACGCTAATGATTGCCTGCGTCTCGCCGGCACATTATAATCATGCCGAGACGTTGAACACGCTGCGCTATGCTTCGCGGGCGAAGCGCATACGGACCAAGCCCGTCATCATGATGGATCCGCGTGAGGCGCTTATACTCAGTCTGAAGCGTGACATCCATGCGCTCCAGATGGAGAATGAGCATCTGAAGGCGGCGCTGAATCTGCACCATCAGGCGACGACGGCGGCGGCTGACGGGCCTGGCGCTGGCAATCTCTTGGAGCTGCAGCTGGAGCGCGTTAACAGCGGCGATGGTGGGGTGCCAGTGCCCAAGGTGGATCTGGAGCGTTTGCCGGAACTGGATGGCGGCGAGCTGGCGGAGCTGGTTAAGCTGTACATGGCCGAAAATGAATCGCTGCGACAGGAGAACAATCATTTGTTCACGGTGCGCGAGACCATACTTAGGGATCAGGAGATTGTGTGTCGGGAAAACGAGCGCTTGCTCAAAAAATTGGAGGAAGTTAACAAGTGAGTAAGCCCCGTAAAAATGGAATCGATCGAAGGCACAACACTCGGGCTCATTGTTGTCTCCTTTCTGACTCGTTCTAGATCGAAACCGAGCGAGGACAATGAGCCGAGTGTCGAGCCAGTTGCCGGATCGAAATGAGGGCGCGGGCTCGGACGCCTGATTGGCATGCATCCAATACAAATTACAATTTTTTATAGACAAATCATGTTTTCAAAACGAATTTAGAGTGTGACTAGTGATCTAAGCAATTAAACGTTAACATTTGTTTCTGTTCCACAATTAGTGTCTGTGTGCGTTCCCCTTTGATACCTGCACGACCGGCCATCTCGCCAACGACGGGCAAAGAAACGCCCGGCACCGAGATCTGGACAAATCCGGAACCAGCTGTTCCAGCAGCAGTGCTCCCATTGGAGCAGCGCATGTCTGAGAATGCGGACAAGCGGACGCACACGGCCCAGAAGCGCATCGATCAGCAGCGCATTGCCAAGAATATATTGCTAATGGCAAATGCCTTTCGGATGCCCAATGCATCAGAGCTGGAACTGCACAAGGAGCAGCAGGCAACCAATAAAAATAATAATAACAATGAACATGCGCAGCCTGATTTAATGCCAGAGTAAGTGACAATATGTGAATAAAACAGAAAGGTCTCTGAATTTAATATATTTTTCTCTCTGCAGCATGCTAACGTAATAAATCTATTAATGTACCTACTACCAACATACAAATATTCTATATTTATATATTTTTGGAACAATTAAAACAAATGTTAAAAAGCTATTTCAATAAAACTGTTAAAAATTCAAAATGTCTTCTACTCTTTGCCAATTTGATAGCAGTGCAACAGAACCTGCACTCTTGCTTATATGTATATCTACATATATTCTAACTGTTAAATAAAATAAATTTCAAAATGCTCGCTACTTTTTGCCAAGTTGGCAGCACTGCAACAGCTGCTGCACTTTTGTTATCGATAGATTTACATTTCACATTCAGCGATAAGTATTGTATCAAACCAAACACTATTGATTTTTCGTCGAATCAAGAGCTCGAGCCTGTGCCTAAAATCAGCTTTTAAAGGTAAATTGAAGCATATTCTCTTAAACATTACATTGAACAGCCTTTGTTGCAGCTAAACGTTACTCGCTAGCATCAAATTTATTGTTGACGTTCACCATAGGTCTTGCCGAGACTGCCGTTCTGGATATTATGGCTGCTAATTTGCAACAGCAGCGCACCATCAATGAGCAACTGCGTCGGGAAGCGGGCATACCCCGCATCCAGGTCTCTGAGGCATGTAATACCATGATGAAGTATATGATAGATCATGAATCGGATGATTGTCTGCTGAGCGGTTTTACCAGTCAGAAGGTGAATCCGTTTCGCGAGAAGAATTCGTGCAGCATTTTATAAGCTCAATTTTGAATAGGTACACAAGTTCCTAGCAGTATTCATAATATGTAGACATAAATATTGTTTACGTTTTCTCGGCGAACTCTAATAGACTAGAACAAAAACAACAGCAAAATCTATAAATGCATGCATATGTGTATAATCTTTGATGTTTCTTGTAAATGTATGCTGACCTCAATTATGTCTATAAACTGAACATATACATAAATATTGTAGAGAAATATTTATTAATGTGCGCACCAAAAAAAGAAAAAAAAAACAACTCAAACCGTCTTTAACATACATATGTATACATACCATGTATTTTGCTAATCCTATAGCTCTTTTTTGGAGGCATATTCGCATATATACATACACATTAATACATATAATATACTAGCAATTTTCAATAAATGTATGACCCTAACTAAACATGTTTCCTATTGAGATATTAATAAATAATACAAAATAATAAATGTACACATAAGCGTTTATCTGTCTGTGAGGTCATTAAAGAAATGTTTTTTCTGCTATATTATGGGCATCGAATATGTGGATGCTGTTCGTTTAATAAACGCGCCAAAAAATATATGTATGTAGATACTGACAGCGTTCCTCTAGTCTACTTAAGAGTGCCAACCTCTTTTTGTTCTATAAAACCCAAATGGTTATGTTTTTAATGTTATAACCCTCTACGGGGGTTTTGAATTAAGATCTTTCGTATATTTTTACCTCCGTTAAGCGTTTATCTCAACAATCTGAAGCTCGAGCATTTTACACTCAATAGTGCAGCGACTTCAGCTATTTTTTAGCTAAATATGGCTATTCTCAACCGGAAACATTTAAGATTTGAAACTGGTTTAAGTATTTTTTGACGTTGATATAAGATGTAGGGAAAAACTTGTTTAACTCCAATTAGTGATTTAGCTCCAATCGATTTAGCTATTTTTAACGATAGAAACAGCAACTTTTTGAAGCGGCAGTTGCCAGCACTGCTCAAATCGGTTACGCGCCATCGGGTCGTTTACGAGCACTATGACAGACGACTAGCGACACTTTGTAAAAATATAATATATTTGTCTTACCCACGCAAGTGCTTGGAGCCGACAACTGGTTAGACTATAAAGGGGGTTCTACCTTCAGTTGTTGCATTTAAAGAGTGGTATCCACCCCACTATCATACATTGTGATAGAAAATAAATAAATAAAATGGAACGCTGTCTGAATCGTGTGCCAGGTGCCAGTTGGTGGCTAAGAACATGATAGTTCTGGGCGTGGCACGTCGGGAGCAGCGTCTCAATGAGCTAAAGTTACAGCTGCCAGCGGAGCAGGCGAAAGGCTTCAATGTACGCCCGTGTGATGTAAGCGTCGAGCAACAGGTGATTGAGACATTTGCCTCGATAGACAAGACGCTGGGTGGTGCCGATGAGTTGGTCCACATTGCGGGCATTCTGCGCCAGAAATGCATCACCAACGAGGCCAAAGCACTCGCGAGATCTTCCTCTCGCTGGAGCGCCGCAAGTTGGATGATGGCCATGTGATCATCATAGAAAGCGTTGCCCGACACCGTGTGCCATTTTTGCCCTCAAGTTCGATTTTATTATTATTGTTAAATGTAAACAGATTATATGGCAAGCTTGCGATGAATGTTTACCTAGGTCAAATTTCGTAATTATTATATTAATTTGTTTACCGAAAAGAGATACATGTTAGATAATATACAAACATAAACTAATTCTTAGTGTCTAAAGCATCTAGAATCATGGTTTAATCTAAGTAGCTTTGACGTTTCCAGCATACAGTTCATATCAGGACCTGGGAGGAGTTGACAAAACAGTTCGAATCACATATCTATAAAAACATATGCATTCTAACAGTAGTAAATTTTTAGTTGTGACGAACATTTATTACACAAGTTCGTTAAAATGAGCGATACGCCTAAGAATTTGCAAGTCAATCCGTATTTCGTATTTCTCGCCCAGTTTCGTGAAAATCTCAAATCACGGGGCTTGACGAACATTAAAGCCACAACTGTGGCTCAAATGGCTGGTAAGAAGTGGCGACAAATGAGCGACGCTCAGAAAGCCATATACAGTGGGATTGCACAAAGGAATCGTGAAACACGTTCGCGTGGCTACAGCGTTTAAGCATAAATCTAAAAAAAATGTTACACAGAGACAATTCAAAATTATATTGTTGGCGCGTCTATTTCGGCACAGTAATCGTTTTTAGCCAATCGATGACAAAAAAAGCATGTTTATCAACACTACCCAAAGGCGACAACACATTTTCCATATAGTAATCCATTTGCATGAAATTAAAATGAGTTCCGGATTTGTTACTGAATCCGAGGCAGCAGAAGCACGCCAACGTCGCCAGGAAGAATGGGAACGCGTACGGCAGCCCGAGGATCCTATGGAGAGACCCGAGGAACCGTACGACGGACGCTCGCTATACGACCGCTTAAAAGAGCAGAAAACAAAAAAGGATATGGAATTTGAAGAAGCGCACAAGCTGAGTAAGCTCGGGTGATTAAACATGGAATTCAACAGTAACTAACTAATTATTAATATACAGAGAACCTAATACGTGGCCTAGACGATGATGAGGTTCAGTTCCTGGAGCTTGTTGATGCTCACAAAATGAACGCTGAGCGTCAACAAATGCGTGACGAGAAGCTGGAGCTGGAGGATTTTCGCAATCGAGTTGAAAAGCTGCAGGAGGAGAGCGTAGATAAGGTAGTGTGACTTGACTTTCCATTGCCACCAATAATCAATAATAATTGCTTAATAAATCAGAAACTTCAAGCGGAGCTGAAGACGACAGCCAAATCTGTCGGTGCATCCGCCACGGCGCGCAATACACAAAAGTCACTGCTGGGACAGGGCATTAAGCGCAAAAATGGTGAGTTGCCCACAACCAGCAAGGTGTCCAAAACGGAGCAAAAAACACCAGCGGAGAAATCAGCAGCACCAGCAACAATTAACATCAACACAACCAAACACGATGTTGGCGGTCTCAAGTGCATCGCCATACTCCCAGGCATTGGTTCCTACACCGAGTCGAGCGATTCTGAGGCGAGCACCGATACCGAAGATTACGACCACGATAAGAACAGTCTGGTGGATTTGTGTGGTCGCAAGATACTAAAAAAGAAACAGTGCGCCGAGTAAATCGGTTTCTTTTGTATTCATTTGGGGGCAACAGTTTTATTGGATTCTTAATTATAATGTTTAGCGTTTGCTGCAGCGAATTATACAACCTAGAGTTAAACAAAGCTACGTATCCTTTTTCTTGTTGCGATTGCGATTCTTCACATTCGTTGCCTCATAGAAATTGCTGCCAATTTTCTTGCGTTTCTGGCTGCGTTCCAGAGCGCGCTTCTGTTTGGCATTGAGCCGTGGGGCCTTGGCACTACTGCTGGGTCCATCGTCGTCATCGCTATCGTCCAACTCATCGGAATCGCCTGGCTGCACCTTGGCTATGCGGAATTTACCCGACGATGTGATGGCCAGCTGTTGTGCCTTCTTGGTCTTGGCTTTCTTGTGCACCACACGCTGCAGATCCTCATTGTATTCGTCCTCAGAGTAGAAATCGCTGGCACCATCACTGGAATCTTCCTCTTGCTCTGGATTGACCAGGCGCGCCTTTTTGCGTGCGGCACGCTCTGCTTTCTGTTGCTCCAGCAGCTCCAGGTCAATGTGATCCAGTTCGCGCTCATCCTGCTGCTCATAATCCAGACCCACTCGAATTTTACGGAAGTCCTGAATTTGCTTGAATTCGCGTGCCCGCTTCACAGACTCGCTAACAAATGTGGGCGCCTCTGATTTGGCATCCGCATCTTCAGCAGCAGCGGCCTCTTCCGCAGCAATTGTTTCCTCCACTGCTGGTTTGCCCTCTTGTGATTTGGGCGTAGCAAAGCCCTCGGGTGGCACATAGAAAGGCAGCTTGCCGCGCTGCCAATCGTTGAGCACCATGCGCGCTGTTACCGTTACGTCCGGTTCGCCACCTTTCAACAGTTTACCCGACTTTTTGGCTAACTGCTCCAGGAAGTGTGTGGATGTCGTCCAGTTTTCTATTTTGTAGTTCTTTGCAATGTACTCCTTGCGCACGCGCTGCAACACTGTTTCCACATAATCCTCCGGATTGGTGACCAGCTCCACACGCACCACGCCTTTCAGCACCTTCTCTGTGTCCGTTTCGGCAGAGGGATAAACCACGCCGGGACAATCGATGAGGAATATGCGCTTCATTAGCGTTATGTACTGCCAAACTTTGGTTTCGCCCGCAATGGGTGCTACATTGCAAACCTTTTTGGAGCGCAGCGCATTAATCACCGAAGATTTGCCCACATTTGGATAGCCAATGAAACCCACGCTTATTTGCTTCTTATCAATGTGCAGTTTGCCCAACTGTCGGAACAGATTGATCAGAGCGCCTGTCAAATATTTGGGATATATTATTGCATGCAAAATGTAAATGCATTTCCATTGACTTACCTTTGCCAAAGGGATGCTGGAGCGAGGCATGAAATGCTATTGTGGGATACTCGGCACTGAGGATTGCCACCCAGCGCTGTGTCACCCACACAGGCACCAGATCTACTTTGTTCAATATGAAGAACAAATGTTTGTGCGGCTTCTCTTTGCGCAAAAACTCCTCAATATATTTGGAGCGTGTGCCCAGGGGATCGCGGGCATCGAGCACCTGCAGCAACACATCGGACGCATCCACAACTTTGTGAAGCTCGTTCCAAATGCGTTTACTCTGGCCCGCACCAAACACCCAATCACGCACAGCCTTCTTTTCGCCCGTGTCCTCCCGTATGAGATCCACATCTTTTGTAGAATCATATTGATCGGCCTGCTCATCCGCTGCACGGCTCAAATCCTCTAGATCGCGCACCTTAAGGCTGACACGCTTCCGTTGCTTCTTCGGCCCAAATACGCTGTCGAAGCTCTCCGTGTCCAACAGATGAACGCGTTGATACTTGGAGGCCTCGTTTAGCAGCGTTACCGGCAATTGGGAAGGTTTCATTATGACCTGATAAGGATCCTTAACAGCCTTGCCAATCTCATCCTGAAACTTTTGCAACGCTGTTTGTGAAATGACACGCGAGTTGCTGAACCATTTTGGAGTCGGCTCCACTCTGGCCATCGTTCCAGCGGGCAGACGACCCTAAAACAACAAGAGTTGATTACCTTAACCATCCTGAACGGCGCAAGCTTCCGGGCTTACCTGAAATGGCGCTGGGGTAAGAATTTTGCCAGTACGATCGCGCTTTGCCTTAAAGTTGCGATACATCTGCAGGCGCTTGATGGTGCCCTTGGTACGCGGGTGTGCGACACCTTTGAGGCCACTTGTTGGTCGCTCTGGATTCATGGAGTGGTTGGAATGGTTAAATCCCTGCGTCCGGGGCTTGCCCGTTGTGCTCCGTACTTTCGGCATCTTTGTTTTGTTTGATTAACGTGCGGTTTAATAGAATTTAAGCGCTGTTCTTACAGCACGCACGTATCAAAACAAACACGTTCCGCTCGTAAAAGAGAGGTTAGGTTGAAGGAATGTTTTTATTTCTCTGAGATATCGATATCTACAATATATTACTTATCGATATAATTTACAATATATATTTTTTCATTATGGGATTTAAAAGAAATTCGCCAATGCTCTAAAAAGTGTTCCGAATCTAAAACAAGTTTTATTAGAAGCTGAAATCAAAACAATTTTTAATGAAGTATTATAGTGCATAAATATTTAATATTATTTATTTGCCGCAGTAGTGCTGCCAGTCCCATGCAACTACAGTCAACTAAATAGATTTGGTCACTCTGTTTCTTATACGCCGCTGTACATTGCAATAGACACAGCACACTACATAGGACAATATCAGCAATGTTTTATAAAAATGTAGGTCCAAGGCACATATATATGCTGCAAGTAGCTGTTATATATTAATTATATGCTTGTAAATCTTTTCAGAATATCATTTAAAAATGGATTGAATAAGTGCACATTGGCAGGTGTTTCTATATTATTGGCCTGCTATGTGGCTCAGAAGTAAGCTGGTTTGTATCCGTGTGGCTCTATACATATCTGTAGTTGTATATTTCAATAATGGCCACGAGCTGCACGCTGGCTGGCGTTTATAAAGTAGAATTTAAATAACCTGCACTTTTTTTTAGTTACAAACAAAACAGTGAAAATGTAGTTTAAAAAATTATTAAAAAGTAAAGTGTAGTAATTAGTTGCAAAAAGCCAAACAATTCTTTTGTACATACATATGTATGTATTTCACAAGCTCGCTTGTTTGCTGTGTACGTGTGCGCGGTGTATGTGTGTGCGTGTGCTTTTTGGAATGTTGCTTTGCACGAAATTCAAATTGTGACCATCCTTGAGATTTTGTGATATAGACGGAGACCGATAGAGAGAGAGGGAGGAAGACTATTAATTATGCAAAATAAAGCGATTTAAACTAAATCAAATGGACGAGCACACATTGAATGACCTGTTGGAGTGTTCGGTGTGTCTAGAACGCTTAGACACCACCTCCAAAGTATTGCCATGTCAACACACCTTTTGTCGCAAGTGCTTGTTGGTAAGTATTCTCTTATTATTATTGTTGTTGTTGTAAATTATATGCTTTTTGTTTGCTCTCTAGGATATCGTGGCCAGCCAGCACAAGCTGCGCTGTCCGGAATGTCGTGTTATGGTGAATTGTCGCATCGACGAGCTGCCGCCAAATGTTTTGCTGATGAGAATTTTAGAAGGTAAGTGTGTTGTGTGGGCGTCGTCAGCCCATGCTTATAATTTGAAACAATTGTGGGCAGCCACGTAGCTAATACTTTACTCATTACTCAATAGGAATGAAACAAAACGCTGGCAAGAGCGACACTAAAAGCGAAGAGTTGCCACTGCCAAATGCAAATAAAACACAACTGCAGCCGGAGTTGCCCCCCACGCAAATAACCCAACAGCAGCAGCAGCAACAACAGCAAAAACAACAACAAATATCACAGCAGCAACAGCACGCCCAACAGGAAGCACTGCAAACGGCGCGCCAAAAGCAGCGACGTTTCCTATTGCCGCACGCCTATGCGCTATTCGATTTCGCCAGCAGCGAAGCCAGCGACTTAAAGTTTAAGAAGGGCGATTTAATATTGCTAAAGCAGCGTATCGACAACAACTGGTTTGTGGGCCAGGCCAATGGCCAGGAGGGCACATTTCCTATTAACTACGTTAAAGTAGCCGTCGCTCTGCCCATGCCACAGTGCATTGCCATGTATGACTTTAAGATGGGCCCGAGCGATGAGGAGGGCTGCTTGGAGTTTAAAAAGAGCACCGTTATCCATGTTCTCCGCCGTGTCGATCATAATTGGGCTGAGGGACGCATTGGACAAACAATTGGCATATTTCCCATTGCTTTCGTGGAGCTGAATGCTGCTGCTAAGAAGCTGCTGGAGAGCGTTAGTTCGACCAATCCACTGCCACTGGCGCCACCGGCACAACTGATGCAACAGCGCGCCCTGCCGCCGGTGCCGCTAATCGATCCCACCCACAACTCGAATGAATCCAGCACGGGTTCCTCTAACAGCAATTCCTCGAACAACAACAGCAGCAGCAGCAACTCGAGCTCCACATGCAGCTCCAACAATTCCAGTCCTAATCATCAGTCGCTGCCCAATACGCCACAACATGTCGCAGCTGCTGCTGCTGCTGCTGTGGTAGCTGCCGGCGGCGGTTCAGTGCGCTATCGTGACAAGGGCGCCAAGGAGAAACGCCACTCGTTAAATGCTTTGCTGCAGGCGGCGCCGCTTAGTTTGCTGCAGACGAATCGCCACTCCGCTGAGATATTGAGTCTGCCGCACGAGCTGAGTCGTCTGGAGCTTAGCTCGCAGCAGGCAAACGCAGCCGCCACCGCAGCCATAACGCAGCCGTCGCAGACATCGCGGGTGCTGAAGACCCACGTGCATCAACAACAATTGCCGCCAACACTGCCCTGGGGCTACCTGGCGCTATTTCCCTATAAGCCGCGTCAGTCCGACGAGCTGGAGTTGAAGAAGGGCTGCGTTTACATTGTCACCGAACGCTGCGTGGATGGCTGGTACAAGGGCAAAAACTGGCTGGATATAACGGGCGTTTTTCCGGGCAACTATCTGACGCCTTTGCGCACACGCGATCAGCAGCAGCTGATGCATCAGTGGAAATATGTGACGCCCTCCACAGATGTAAATGCGACCCCGCCGGCGCAGTCGCTGGATGTGCGTCTAAGTAATATGCTGCCCACACAGCCACCAGACTTGCCGCCTCGGCAACAGCAACAGCTGCAACCCACGCAGTCAACCACCAGCTGTTCCGTCTGGACCAAGCCCGTGGAGGCGCTTTTCAGTCGCAAGTCCAGCGGCAGCACGGATAGCAAACCGGACAATGCTGGCAGCAGCTCTGGCGCTGTGGGGCTTATGCGACGTTTGACGCACATGAAAACACGTTCAAAATCGCCCGGTGCACCACTGCAGCAGCAGCAACAGGCGCCCAAGGAGACCACCAGCACAACTACTGAAGCCAGCGTTAAGGCGGCGCCATTGCATCCAGTGCATGTCAGGTTTGTGTGAACATGTATTATTTTGCTAGGCTTTCCCAGCTAATGCGTCTTTTTACAGATCCGGTTCATGTCCAAGTCAGCTGCAGCAAAGTCAACCACTGAAGGAAACAGTCGCAGTTTCAACGCCTTCCACTGGGGGTCCACAATTTCAGCCGAACAGCAGCGTTTCCTACGGCTCGCAGCGCATCAAAAGCAACAAAGAGCGACCGCATTTGCTTTGGTTTGTTTAGAAATTAGATTCACGTAGAGAAATCACAGCTAATCTCGTTTTCCCACTGCAGCGCTAGACAATCCCTGGATGCGGCTACATTTCGCAGCATGTACAATGCTGTCTCGCCCCCGCCGCCCGCAACAAGCCATACGCAAGCCAATGCACAAACGCAGCTGCATGCCAACATGATTATAGCGCCCAATCATCGCAAGACTCAGAGCCTGGACGCGGGTCATGTGCTCAGTGGCAGCAATAGCAACCTGAACACCAACAGCAACGTTATAACCGAAGCGGCCATTAAGGCCAGTGCCACCACGAAATCGGTATACTGCACGCGAGAGAGGTAACTTTATTATTAATTTGTATTATTGACTTATGTTTAATCAAATGTATTTGCATTGCAGTCGGTTTCGTTGCATTGTGCCCTATCCGCCGAATAGTGAAATCGAGTTGGAATTGCGACCAGGCGATATTATCTATGTGCAGCGCAAGCAGAAGAATGGATGGTATAAGGGCACACATGCGCGCACTCATAAAACTGGTTTATTTCCAGCTTCCTTTGTGGAACCGGATATTTAGCTTAGTGCACATTCCTTGAAGCATTTGTGTTCAAATTTCAAATTCCACACAAATACACACACATTTGTCAAAATTCATTTTTTTGAATCGCCGGTCGATTTGTGCTTCCACAAATGTTTACAACAATCTCTTCCTCTTTACGAAAAAGAACTATTCGAATACAAATGCTCGATTATGTAGTTTTTATACGATTTTTAATCAAATTAGGCTAGCCAATATATTAAGCAAAAGTAACATTGTACTTAAGACAAAACTAAATGTTAAATTAGATAGTGAAATCGAAATACGAAAATTCGAATCAACGAACCAACCTTTATTATAAACGCAGATTCCTTTGTAAAATCTACATTGAAATTCGTAACTAACCACTGTTATGCATAGTACTTGTACTTACACGTAAACATATACGCAAATTATTAATAAAACATATTGTGCAGCAACATGGCAAATTATAACAAAATTCAAGCATTGAATTCAACTTATTTTATTCACCGTCATTTAAACATATTTTGTTAATCTAGTTTAAACATCAGATTATTCGCTCTTGTCGAATTTGGAACCATAGATGGGCATGTACTGAAGCACCAATTTCCAGTCGGTGTAGTAGAGCAGGGCCAGGCCAGCGGCGCCTCCGAATCCTGCGCCGGAGCTAACGCTGAAACAAAAAGAATGAATAAATGTAAAATTTGTCTGAATTGCCATCTTTGGATTATGCAATGTGTTTCGCCAGTTACTCCACTCTTGCAAGAAAAGTAGCAGCAGCATAGCCATGATTTATTTTAAGTTTACTTACAAGGCTGACGCGATTTCAGCGTGCTTCTTGCCAAAGGGTAAGCGGAAAGCCATTTTATTCGGGTTTAAATAAGTTTTCCTTGCAAATAAATATTCACTAACAGATCGCAGTATGCCCGTATTGCAATACACCAAAAAATACCAAATCTGAAAGGGTCGCCCATGCCAGCTGTCATTGTCATAATGTAGCCCTGGCCACTCCAAATATTTTAAAGATTGGAGTAAATATTGGCTTTGTCTTAATTAAAACAAACAGTTGTCATTTTGGTTTATACAAAATAATTATCTGCTCCATTGCTTTTAAATAATTTTTTATTGAAAGCTTTTCATCGTTGCCAACGCTGGCAACCCTTTCAGGAGGCCTACGTGATAACAACAATTTGTCATAGCTTGCATTTGCGTTAAAATTCTTATTGCATTTAAATTAAATAAATAAAAATGAATGTGGCTATTTTTGGCGAGCTAAACTCATTTGAGCTGCTTGTTCTCAGCAGTTTAATGCCAGCCGTTTTTATATATTTGTGGACGTTGATAACCGGCGATATTAAGGTAAGGCAGCCCACAAACTATCTGATGGAAATTGGACCTAACATATGTATTAATATTTGTTTTCAGAATTTTGAAAACAGCAAGATAGCTTATTCAGTGTACACGGCAAAGGATCCTATTAATTGTTATCAAGACTACACAGAAAAGAAGAAGGATTCATAGGCGCTTTTAGATTGACCTTAGAAGATAAGAAAGCCTGCTAAAAAATACTGTATTAAAGAATCATTAATGTAACAAGATAACGCGTATTTACTTATATATGTGCAGCTGATATATGCTTAAGCAAACAGTTTTATAATTTAGGCATGCCACTTACTATAAAGTAAATATTTTGCTTAAAATGAACTTATGAACTATAATAAGAACTAACAAGTTCAGTTCCAGTGCAGTTCGCGATGTTCATGATTCATGTTCAATTGTGCATGTGTGTGTGTGGTATGTACTGCAGGTGAACAACAACAGTTTCTAGTTAAAAACAATACGAAAAGTTTTATAAATATCAAGTTTCGACTTTCCCGACTTTTTAAAGCATTCTTGCATAGGCAACTCGGGCACGTATAGGCTAAAAAAGAGGCTTAGCCACCACATTAGCAACAAACAACAAAGGAACAACACAACGACGCAAAAACAAATAACATGTCTGAAACATACGGTTTGTCACACTTTTCGCTCGTAACTGGAATTAATTGTTAATTGCATTTGTATGTTGTTTGCTCAACTTTCAGATTACCTGTTCAAATTTCTAATAATAGGTAGTGCGGGCAGCGGCAAAAGCTGTCTCTTGCATCATTTCATCGAAAGCAAATGTAAGTTTAACAAACACTTTGGCAGAAACTGTATGGTAAATATATTGAAGAGTGCATCTTCGATTCCAAAAATGATATATATTTATGTATACTGTATTGCAAAATGCTGACTCAGTACATTATTGTACACATATATTTTGCTTGTTTCCATGTGGTGATAACACTATATATAATTTACAATATCGGCCCGTATTTATTCTTCAGATATTTTTATCTCACGACTTACATTTTTCTCCAGTTAAAGACGACAGCTCGCACACGATTGGCGTCGAGTTCGGCTCGAGAATTGTGAATGTTGGCGGCAAATCGGTGAAGCTACAAATATGGGACACAGCTGGCCAGGAGCGTTTTCGTTCGGTGACACGCTCCTATTATCGTGGTGCGGCTGGTGCTCTACTGGTATATGATACCACAACGCGGGATTCGTTTAATGCTTTAACAAATTGGCTAAATGATGCACGCACGCTGGCCAGTCCAAATATAGTTATATTGCTGGTAGGCAACAAAAAGGATCTGGAGGAGGCGCGTGATGTTACATTCTTGGAGGCTAGCACCTTTGCCCAGGAAAATGGTGCGTATATACTAAAGAGAACTCATGAGAAGACGGCAATTAACCAATCATTGCGTTTCTTTTATGTCCAATACTGTGTAGAGCTTATATTCTTGGAGACGAGCGCCAAAACGGGCGAGAACGTCGAGGAAGCTTTCCTCAAGTGCTCGAAGACCATACTGGCCAAGATAGAGACAGGCGAGCTGGATCCTGAGCGCATTGGCAGCGGCATACAGTACGGTGGGACAGCGCTGCGCAATCTACAGACGCGACAGCGCAGCATCAGCAAGCCCGATTGCACCTGTCGAGTGTAGATGTTTTGGGAGTACTTCACCCAGGTCGCTTAGCATGCACGCGAACAATATCTGTGTATTAGTTTAGGCGAGCAAAAATAATCTCATTTAATTTCTAACTACTTGATACGAAACCGCATTAGCCTTAGTTATATGTACGCGTGTTTGTGTGCGTGTGTCTTTCATCAGCACTTGTGCGGTCAAATACTGTTTTGGCCCACTGTGCAATGTTTCTTCCCAATTTTGTTAAAATTGTTAAACCCAATCTGCTGTGCAATTTGTGGCATTCCAAGTTAGTTCGCTTAATTTGTTTTTTGATTTAATTGACTCTACTTCAATTGCTGAATTAATTGTACAAGTTTTTCTTTTAAAACGTTACTTATATATTGTAAATTGTAAGCTTTTCAATTATTGTAAACCAGTGGCGGGCCCAAGCGATTATAAAAGCGATTAACAACTGGAACCGGCCAGTTGGTGTCTGAATCACCAGCGGACGGATTGATAATTAACATAAATGCGCCCAGCATTTTGTAAATAAGCGGCGTCAAGTTTGTTTGACAAAGCAAATTGTAAAGAATTTTAAAATGAATAATAATGCACGCGGTAAATAAAAGCGCAAACTAAATAATTAAAATGCAATTAAGGTCTCTCGAGCGTTGAAGTTGTGCACTTATTTAGTGCTGAGCCCGGGCCTAGACTTGTTTAGACTCCAATTTGCCAGCCATACCTCGTCTTTGAATATGAATTTATAGTCAAAAGAATGGCAAACAAAAATAGCTAATATAACTATATTCTGCCAATTTCCAAATTCTTCCAAACCACATAACAGTAAAAATTCTCTTCAAGCTCTTGGTGGACAGTTTTATACATACATATAGAAATTGATTAATATATTTTGGTTAACATATTTGAAATTTTTGGATATTCATTTGTTGCATGAAGGTTCTCAAATGTCATTCACGGATCAGGAATATTTGATTTAATTTTAACTAAAACTGAACAATTTAAAGCTGATTAGAGCTTTGAACAACGTTTATGTACATAAATAATTGCAAATATTGTATAAAAAATTTATTGCATAGCTAAAATGATTACAAAAAATGTATTTTTAACAAATGTTTCGACGTTTAAAGTAATGCACATTAGAAATTCCTAAGGGAAAACATATAATTCGAATTCTACTTTACAAGTTACTGACAAACTGAAAGTTATAGAAAAAAAAGATAAAAAAAAAACTAAAAAATAAAATTGGACTCATGCCTCGCATTTGGCCAATTTTTGGAGTGCATGCTTGGCAGCTGAGAGCTTGGCCTGCTTGCCATTGTTGCCGAATCCATAGACCTTGATGGTCTTATCCATGCATATGAACTGGCAGGTGACCATAACTTGGTTATTGTCCATGATGGGCGGGCCAAAGGTAGGCTTCGCCAGCTTGTGCTCGAACAGCTGACGGATGGGATTTAATGGCACATTGCGCGAGAATTCGAGCAGTTCGGGCTCAAAAAGTCTGTAGACCACTTGCCAAGTAGTATTTAAATCACGGCAGTCCAAATAAACGGCGGCTATCAGTGCCTCCAGGACATCACCCAATGCCTTGGGCACATCCACATTGTGCGAAATGTTGAATTCGCCCACGTGCGGCTCATGAGCCCCATTAATAGCGAGCTTTTGATGTTTTGCTGCTTCGGCCAGCTCCAATTCGTCATCGGAGTCGAGTGGCTCAGGCTGCACATCGCTCTCCTCCATGAGAATGCGCACTTGGTTGGTGACGCGATGATTCTGCGACTCCTGGAACTGCACAAAGCTCTGAATGGACTCCGTGAGCAGTGCGTTCTCGGCCAGGATGAAAAAGTGGAAACGATGACGCACACAAATACAAGCGAGCGTCGTATTGTTGACCAGCGCCGAGCGCAGATCCGTCAGTTGACCCGGCGTCATCCGTGTCTTGTGCTCGAATATATATGCTGAGATGAGGAAGTCCAAGATGGCATCGCCAATAAATTCTAGCTCCTGGTAGCAGCCCGTCAAACGATTTGTCGGATTTGAGGGATGTGTCAGCGCCTGCAGCAGATAGGCGCGATCACGGAATGTATAGCCCAGATTCTGTTCCAAATGCTGATGGTTAATCAAAAATCCATCCACTTCGCGCTGCGATATATTTGTCCGCATGCGTGCGCTACCCAGGTGCAGGTCCAGCAATTGGGTCAACGGCTTGCCAATGTCCGACTTGCAGATGCCAAAATATTCAAGCATGCGGAAGCCGTGCTGCAGACCATAGTTCTTCACGACCACGCCCAACAACGCCTCCAGCGTATCGGCAATCAATTTGTCCGGCATCTGGACCAATCCCACACAGAAATTGATCTCGCTACTAAAGTCCATGCCCGCATGATGTGTATACTGATTCGCTTGGCAGCCATCCACGAAACTGCGATAGACATGTTCTCCGCATTTGCCATTACCGAACACCTCCTCCTCGCTAATGCATAAATTGCGTATATTGTGCGGCCCCACTAGCGCAGCCAATTCCGGTTTCTCCTTCCACAGCGCCAGCACATTCTGGGGCAGACATAGGCCGGGCGGCAGCCAGGTGTACTTCGGTGTGAACAGAGTGCTGCAAATGCGAGTGGGTATATCCGTTTCGCTGAGGCAGTACAATAGATTACGATTGGAGACCAGTGTGGACTTCACCTAATTGAGGCATTCAATTCAATCGAGGAGAAGGAGAGGCGGCATTAATGAATAGCAAAAAATGTCATAATATGTCTATATAATCATGAACACTTATCATGCACAAAGTGCTTATATAATATAGACATAGTATTTCTATCTTAATCAAATATTTTAATCGTGCTTACTAATCTAGCTTCCAGTTAATCGGAGTGTGTATAAATACATAAGATTCAGTTGTAAAGTCAGGTCTTGATTGGAATTAAGGCTGCAAGCCGGTTTTGAAACAAGCGTGTTCCAACCGGAAATTCTGATTTATTTATTTATTTATTTTTACTAAGAAACGAACTGTACCAACCTGGGTTAAAATGCCCTCATTCCAGTCCGGATACTTGTTGGCCAAATAGAGCGTGGCGCTGAGCTTGAGAAAGCAATCGCCGAGCAGCTCGAAACGCTCCATGTCAAAGACATCAACGCTGCCCGCATATGTGATGGCGGCAAGGAATTCGCCCTGCTCTGCCGGCGTTATGTGCTCATTGGAGATGCTGCGCTGTAGGACCGACAGCTGCACCTGTTCGACCCGCCTGCCATTATCGCCGCCGGCGGGTAGCAGGGCGGGCAGCTTATTGTCGCTCTTCTGACAGCTGTATATGTTGCCCTCGCGCATTTTGAACTGGGTCTGGGTCCAGAGCTCTTTATCCTCATGCTCCAGTTTGTCCAGATTGAGCAATTGACCGCTGGTAAAGTTATAGAAATAGGAGAGCTCGACGGGATACGTGGACATGATGTTGCGCGCAATGTCCAACGGCTCCATATACTTTTGCCACGGCACCTCCAAATCGGTGATTTCCAGTTTCTCCATGGCCATCTCGACGCCTTTGGTGGGCAGCGGCTCTAGAACCGGACGTGGCTCCTCGTACTCATCAGCGTGCACGGGATTGCCCTGATGATCAACATTGCGGCGCAGCGAACAATCAATTTCCAATGGTCGTGGTCTATAGTTGACGCCATTCTGCGGCAATTTATCCAGTCCGAGATACTTGTTAATCCGTACACGCAGCGTCTCGGCATGCAACATATAGTATATGCGACGCAAAATGCTGGGCAGAAAGATCAGCTTCACCCACAATTCGCCGGGAAAGGCAAAATTGAAGCACAGTTCTGGTATGAGCATCACCTTGGCACGCGCCTTGCTCTGTGCCGAGGATTTGGTGCGTTGCTTCACATAAAAATTCAGCTGATCGGTCAATTCGCGCACCTCGATCAGGAAGTGTTGCTTGTGGACAACATCGCCAATATAATTGCTATATTTGGCCATGGTGAACTGATAGTAGCTCTTATCCTGCTGCTTCTCCTCCATCATGCTCATGGGCGTCAGATCTGTGTGCACCTTGGTCACTAGCATGCGCTTCTCATCATAGTTGGCATACCATTGCGTAACAACCTTGCCCTCGTAGTCCTCGGGCTTTGGTGGCGGCATTTGTTTGCGTTGTGCCAAGCTGATGGCCTGCGCCCTGGGCAGGCTCTGGAATTGCTCTACCAGGGGCCAGTCTATGCCGACGCCAGGCGTCGCCGAGAGCGGCACCACCAGAAATGTGTGCTCGCCACCGCAACGATCGAGCATAAAGAATGGCTGCCAAATGCGCAGCAGATCGCGAAAGATCATAACATGGAAATGCTGCAGCTGCTCCAACTGTTGCTGCTTCTCAATTGTCAGCTCTAGCGGCTGTTCCGCAACATGCACATGCATCTCGCCCTGATGGCTGAACAGCGGCATCGTGGCCAGACGCGGCAGACGCTTTCTCAACAGCAGGGCATAGTTGCGACGTGTTTGGAGCGAGTCGTACATGTGACGTGTATATTCGTTCCGGTCGTATTGCGCCTCCAGGACAATCTCATAGGCGTAGCAAACCTCACCCACTCGCGGCATGGCATCATTTAGTTCCGATGGGCATTTCGTTGCATACGTTTTCATATTTGTTTTCACCTGTTCACGATCCCTGCGCTTAATGGTCACTGGAAGGGGGGAAAACGTTACGAATTAGTGAATCCGATATACGCAAGCATTTACCATAGATACTTAAAAACTAAGGGTAGTCTCAGAGCCGGACAAGCCAGAAAATCTTATTTTAAATGGAAAAAGGCCAACAAAATCCCAACAACTACTAAGGGATCTCATTATAGGTCTGCCTTCCGGACTTGAATCTTAATAACTTTAATTCTTTCAATATAAAATAATAAAATATATGAAGAGGAATTGCGTCGAACAAAATACATTGTTGAAGATCTATATGCATTTAAATTTGTATTTTCCACATTTCATTTGCTGAGAGATCCATCACTGAATTTGTTTTAAACGGAAGTTCGAAATTATTCTTGCTTTCTATATACCAAATATTAGATCAGTACTTAACTCGGTTGTTATGTTATGTTAGAAGCATAGAGAAGCTGGAATGGGTTTAGACTGTTTACAAATACTGTCCAAAAAGTAAGCTTTATACATTTTTGTGGAACTTTTTCGATAGTGAAATATGAGTGAGTATATCTGAAATTTTCAATCAGTGACAGGTAATCTGTAATTTGCATTACGCACCATCATCGCCATACTTTTTCCAGTGCTCAAAGTGAAAATTGGCGATCTCGGCAACGCGTTCGTTAACTGTTGTGGGCAAAAAGCGCTCATTGAGTTCGCCCAAGGCGTGCAGTTTGATGCAGGCCTTAAAAGCCGCCGAGATCTTGGCCCAGCGGGCACAAGACATGGGATCACTCTGCAAAAGGAGAAGGAAAATTGGTTTTGTGCTATAAATATTCCGTTCTGGCTTACATAAATGGATTCGCGTAGCGTGGAATTCAGTGGTAAAGTGACGGACACTATATGCCTTCTCTGCCAATCTGAAGTAAATTTTTTCACTTCCTCTGTCTCTAGCAGCTTAAACCAAGGCAGCACAATGCCAAACGCATCCG